TAAAAATAGTAACAATTTTAGACAGTTTTGTTTGGAAGCGTATGTGACAGGGACGGACTCAGGTTATTTTAGCCCCAAAATTTTTGTGTGATTCTATTTTTGAAATTCAATTTTAGAAGTTGAAAATTTAGGGTTTTCTACATAAAAAAGGTGCTCTTATTGAATATCGATAAATTGTGCGATTCTTGAATAAAATCAAACTAAAAAATTTGTCACATGATAGGAAATGTACTGCGAATTTAAATGAATTGTTGATTATACATAGTTAGCCATGACTGCAAACAAAAGTTGTTATGATTTGTTATGACTTATTTTGACGTTAAGCTGACATTGTTAGCAGTGTAAAATTACTAGATTAAATCTAAAGTTGTATTAAATCGATTTAAAATGCCAAGATTTACAGACAGAGAACTGACTGACATGCATTTTGTGTACGGGTTTTGCAATGGCAGTTCATTGACAGCCGTAAGAGAATATCAAAGAAGATTTACCAACCGCATAGTACCTGTCCAGGTACGTCCGTCGAATGTTTACTGGTATTCACCGGAATGTCAAACCATGGAAGTTTTCAGCACATGCAGAGCTCAGTAAGGCTACTGGGAAATCATCGTATGGATATTGCTTTAAATATGTTTCAAAATAATCCGCAAATAAGCATGCGAAATGTTTCAGAAATTATGGATATACATCGATCAATAGTAAGAAAAATTTATGAATACCTATTTGATAATTATCCTAAAAATAATAATTTGAGATAGGAAGAATGACAAGAATGCTAGGATTACATCCTTATTATTTTAAACGGGTGCAGCATTTAACGGAGGCAGATTTTGACCACGAATCGAGTTTTGCCAGTGGATATTAGCAAATGAAAACACTATTCCTAGAGTACTATGGTCGGAGGAGTCAATATTTACTACGAATAGTGCTTTTAATTTCCATAACATGCATCACTGGTCAGATTAAAATCCAAAAGTTGTTCGCGGTACAAATTTCCAACATAGATTTTCATTGAACTTATGGGCAGGAGTAATTGGAGATCAAGTAATTGGGCCTATTGTACTTCCCAATCGTCTTAATTCAGAGGTGTATCTGAACTTTCTTCAGAATGAGCTCATGGATATAATACCATTGGATGTGCGCCAAAAGTTTCAAGAAAATATGTTTTTTCAACGTGATGGCGCCCCTGCACATTTTGGACGCAGTGTTCGAAATTGGTTGAATGTCAATTTTTCAGACAGGTGGTTAGGCCGAGGAGGTCCTATAGCGTGACCGCCACGTTTACCTGACCTAAATCCATTGGATTTCTATTTTTGGGGGTCATTAAAAGACCTAATTTACTCGACTGAAGTAAATACTCAAGAAGATTTACTTCAAAGAATCCATCAGGCTGCAAATGAAATAAAAAGAAAAATGTTTTCCACTTTTCGGGCTACGCAATCATTAGTTCGTCGAGCGAGACTCTGTATCCAACAAAATGGGAATTTATTTGAACACTTATTGTAAAGCTAGTTTTAGGTATATCAAACTGTATGTCTTCTTGTTTAAACAAATTTCAATTTCGTTCGTAGAAAAAATTTATTTCTTTTGTTTTTGCCTAAATGTTAGCTATGTTGCAATAGAAATATGTATTTATGTAATATTTACTAATTATTAAATCAGTTTTTTCGTTGCCATGGCTAATTATTCAACAATTCATTTAAATTCGCAGTACATTTCCTCTCATGTGACAAATTTTTTAGTTTGATTTTATTCAAAAATGGCACAATTTATCGATATTTAATAAGAGTACATTTTTTAAGTAGAAAACCCTAGATTTTCAAATTCTAAAATTGAATTTCAAAAATAGAATCACACAAAAATTTTGGCGCTCAAATAACCTTAGTCCCTCCCTGTTACATACGCTTCCAAAGAAAACTGTCTAAAATTGTTAATATTTTTAAATCCAATATAAAAAGCTAGGGTAGAACGCCAAATTCTATGTCTTTATCTCAACACGTTTCGGACATATTAAGGAAAAACCATCTTCAGAGGAGCCCCTTTAAAAGACCGTAGCGCCCTTAGGGGACGTTTGTCGACCTATGTCTATATAAACTTTTCTTCCTATTTTAAGCTCTAGAAACCGCTGGTAGAATATTGCACACTTTTTTCGGGACACCCTGTATATGTATTTCAGAGGATTTTTGCTGTTCTCTACTCACAAAAATTGCTGGTAAAGACGACCGGAAGCTATGTTTTATGCTCTTTTTTACTTCCTTCAGTCACCGACAGTTTTTTGGCACGAAATATCACGTTTTAAAGGAACAACGTTTGAAAAATGTTGCCTCACTTTTAGCGCCTTTTTTCTCTTGCTCCTTTCAGGCAGGAAGGGAACTCATTTTTAGGTTCAAACATTTTGGAGATAGGTACAATCATTTTCTGCAACTGGAAATTTTGGAACGTTGATATTGTTCTGTGAGTCCATATCATTTTTGGATTAATGTCCACGGTCTAAAGCTGCTTTCTACGTATACTTCGTTTGGACATCTTGGACATATCTTTATAGGGATATTTTATTATTCTAAGAAAACACACAGGTAAGGTATGGGTTGTCTTTAACAAAAAAACTTGTAATACAATTGTTTCTTTCCAAGCCACACAGTTCCACAGTAATTTTCACCTACAGAAAATGTGAAAAACCATAATAAAATGTAATGTCTGTAATCCCATTTTTTTAGCTAAAATATTATGGTTCACAAATCAGCACAAAATAATTTATCAGTACATTAATCTCGATATACTCTGCCGATTGAATGTCTACTCTGGGAACAACAAAGCAGATTTATTACCTCATAAATCGAACATAAAAATGTGAGCGTTGAATGAATAATATGGAACTCAGTATTTTTTATTATCCGGTGAAATATACGTGCCTGCTTTTACAGGGCGTTTCTTGGTAACTACTACATACGGGGCAAAAATTCAAGTAGCGATGGAATATTCAATATAATATTCATATTTTTTCATCCCGTAACGTCTATAAAATCGCTTTAAGGCAAAAAGGCAATTCTATAAGAAAACTTTACGTATGCCTTCTCTAGCTGGAGGCACGAAAAGCCTCATATTATAGATTTCCAAACTCTTTTGAGTACCAGTATTTTGATAGATTTTGGCGGTCTATTTCCAAGACCAGTATTACGAAAATCGATACCGGACAAAATAGTTCCTGTGCTATTCGTATGTATTAGTGTGAACAGTGGTCATTTGCAACCAAATACATATTACGATTGCATCCGAATTGTAAGGTAATGTAGGTACTATCAGAAAATTTTGGCAAGCGAGAATATACCCAAACACCCCAGAGGGCGAATACCATAAAAAAAAGCAGAAAAGTAATTACTGGTTCTTGCTGATCATCGATGGCATTTCTGACTTCTAAACTAAATATTTTTTATTTATTTCCACTCCATAAGCCCACTATCAATTCTATTATTGGCTTATATTTATTTCAGTTTGGCTCGGATTTCAGCGATATGTAAAAAATTTGCATTATTCAATCCCTGCATTTATGTTTGAAGTATATAAATACATTTACATTAACCAAAACAACTAAAAGTAATGTCTTTTGCAGATACTACCTCATATTTTTGGATTTCGAAAGATGTCCGTCAATAATAAGCGAGGCTTAAATTTTTATGCTGATCCTTATATGTACTTTATGAAACATTATTATATTTATATTATGCACTGCCAGACACTCTCCGTCGGTCAGAACTTCTGCCACATGCTTTAAACAAAGTGTCCCGCTTAGACACATTTTAGAGTATACTTCTAGGTTATATAAAACATTTTTTTCTGAACGCTCGTCCAGAAAGTTAGCGGGACACCTTATATAAAGCGTCTGGCAGAAGCAGAGCCTGCGGCAAGTGCTGAATTCTTGCTTTGTAATATTGTTTGGCAGAGTACATATAGAAATAAGTCATCAGAGTTTAAGTAATTTAAGTAAGCTCATAAACTAGAACTTTGTGAGATGCTTTCGTACATTGGCTGCGGTAACGACAAAACATATACACTGAAGGTTTAGTCACGTGCTATCCATAGGCCAACACGGTTGATTTATGTGAGTGTCAATCGCCATTTTTTCCGGATGCCAGGTGGTTGCCAGATTGTGCACCATCGTCGCATGCGACCTTGCCGGCTCTTCGCATAAATCTGAGACTGTTGAATAATTTTATAGTAAGCACTTAGAATGGTAAACAAACAGGAAACCCACAAAAACGAGCTTCTACGTGGGATTTCTAATGATATATGGAGATTTTATAACGCCCTGTGTTATTAGCATATTTTTGCTGCTTTGACAAATAAGCAGTGACTTATTTGTTAAAGCAGCGGCTTAGTTACATAGGCCATTATAAAATCCTACATATATCCTGGTTATTTGAAAATTTGAGGACAGTAAAAAATCTATACTTGAGAATATATTTTTTTCTGAATCATCATGCTATAGTCCAAACATGGCTATGAATTTGCCATAAATTAGTTACACGTGTTGTTATAAATTAGAGTAAGGGTAATAAATTAAATTTTGATCAGTGAAACCAGTGTTTCCGTTACAGTGCAGTTGCTCTTGCTTTTACTTAAAGTATCTTTCTTGGTATATAAACGCTATTCAATGCCCCATGTTTTGTTTTTGAGAAAGTAAGTAATGCCTGGAAATCCTGGGATCTCAGACTATAGGTTTTGTGTGCCACACGTGTCATAGTAAAACGGCTGATGTGCCAGATGCGCGTTGCCTACATGTGCCACAATATATCGCAAGCTCTTAAAATTTCTTGCGCATCTTGTGTAACATGGGTCCGGCACATTAACTTCGATAACTTCAATATATTTTTTTCAACTCTAGTACATATCCCGCCAAATTCTGAATTTTCTTAGGTATTATGTATAATCTTCACATTATTTTGAACTGAAACGTAACTGCAGTGCTGCATAGAAAGCTAACATTTTTTTGTTTGTTCCAGGTATCCCAGTGACGTCATACAAGCCGGCATTGCGACGGTTTCCCACATCTCCAGACTACTTCCCTTCGAATGAGGTAGACAGTGAAGAAACGCCTACGATGAAATGCTCGCAGACGAAAAACATGTGGGCGACGTGTCAGTGCCATTTAGAACTTTGCATCGGTGAGTTTCATTGCATTTGGTTTATTTGTCTATCCTGGCTGCCTTCCATAATATAAGATGTTTTGCGACTCTTCCGTATTATGCTGAAAGGCAATTGAGACGAACGAGTGTGTCATTGATTAATAGATTTTTTAACTACTCCGACCTAAAATAATGGCACACAAAAACTTGAAATATTCTGAGAGATAGAAAGTCGCTTAAATGGGTGCAAAGTTGCGTATTTAGATAACTAACAAGATGCCGCTTAGATGCCGAATTGTCCCAAATTCGCTTTAATTTTTCCTGACTTCATTTGTAGCGGTATTTCAAAATAAGTTGCACATTAAGATTGCCACATTTTCTCCTCTACAACATAGTATAATTATAATTTCATCAATAGCATTTGTTCTCTTGTCCTCCAGCGTCAATTTTACAGATGAATAGAATTTTTAATTCTGATTCCAAAAATATATAATATGTCATACATAGACATTGTCAGACCTTACTTATTAAAGAAAAAACAGAATTTCCTAGGTAGACCTTGAAATTATCTGATAGTCATTTATTTAGAATACCGGATTATTTATCATTGTTTATTTCCTGGTTTTATCTGAAATAAATTACATATTAGCATTGCCACTGTTTCTGGTCTACATGAGGGCGTAGACAAATTCTCAATTAGATATTCCCGCTTTCCATCTCCATCCTTAACTTTGTTTCGTTTCTTAGAATTTTTGATTCTGCCTTTAGTTATGAATAACAAGTTAAAGTAAAAGCCATTGTGGGTAACCGGGTAGTCTCAACCGAGCATGATTCATAGCCGCTTCAGATGTTTTCATTGAAGTCATCGATAGGGAATGCTAGGGAAATACATCCGATTTCATTTCTTGGCCTGATCAGATTTAGGGCCAGTATTATAAAGCACGTTTTCAACCTTCGGTTGATCAACCGTCAGTTCAATGCTAACTGCCGGTTGAAATTATTTCGGTATTATTACCATTAGTTCAGGTCGACGTTGGCCAACTAGAAATTCGCGTCCGTTTCACAATGTTGCCTATTCTGCGGACTGTGTTATAACCAATCAGAATTAAGTATTTCAATTTTCCCGCTTCGATCGGTCGCATCGTCTCATTCAACATAAGCCGGGCGTAACCTGACCTAACCTTATATTTTGTTTTGATTTGTTTACTATTGCAAATTGCAAGCATTTTGTATGTGTCTATGGGTACAAAAAATAAAAGAATTGTTTATAGTGATGCAGATTGCCACCGGCTAGTGGACATTATAATTACATATAGAAACGTTATAGAGTGTAAAAAAACTGACGCCACAACCTGGAAAGAAAGAGTAAGTAAACATGTTTTTTATGTTAGTAGATTATGTACATGTAACATGTTATGTATATTATAGAATGCCACTTGGCAGAAAATTGCCCAAATTTACAACTCTGGTACCACAGAGCCTCGAACAGCTGATCAATTACGTTGTAAATATGATAATTTAAAGAAAGACGTTCGTAAGTATGAGGCACAGAAAATGAAAAGTTTGTATAGAACTGGTGGTGGACCAACTATTGAAGCTGAAGGCCATATTGAAGCTCCTGTATGATAAAATTAAAAGTATTATTAGCTTTTCGGTGGATGGTTTAGAGCCTAGTCAGGGTGACAGCGACATGCTTGTAGAAAGTATGTATATGAAAAATAGTACGTATGAACTTTCTAAAAGTATTTTTTTTTTGCAGGCAATATAGTTATTGAACCAGAAAGTGCTTCACATAATGAAGGAATAGTTGCCAGTCATGAATGCAGTGATCAATATATTATAGTAGAGGAAGTACTTGGTAGTACGCCAATGTCTCCGGATGTACAGGCAGAGGCAAAACCATATTATGTAGAAACACCTGGTAGTACATCCTATGTTTTACAAGCAGAAACAAAAAAAGATAGTGTAGAAACATCTGGGAGCACATTACACTCTCTGCAGGCAGAAGCAACAAAATGTTGTGTATATAATTTTATTAAATATTTGTAATATTAGTTCATAGTTATTATATATGTGTATATATATCTACAGTATTATTTGCAACTAGTTATTTTGTATACAGACTGGTCTGACTATACACCCAATATGTTAAAAGCGAAGAAGCATAAAATATTACAAACAAAACGGAAGAAAATTGAAAGCCAAGAAAAAGAGGACGACACTGAGGACTGCAAACTAGCTATGTTTAATTTAAAAAAAGAATTGCTAGAAAAACAAGCTGTTCAAAATGATTTGTACCACAAAATGAAAATGCAAAAGGAAGAGGAATTATATAATCTTAAAATACAAAATCAAACATTACAAAATAAAAAATTGCAACTTGAAATTGACTTGTTACAACAACAATTAGATAGGCAATGAAGTGCTTAAGAACACATATTGTTATTAAAATAAAACAAATTAATTTTTTTATTATGACTTGTATTTTATTTTTAATAATATGTAGTATATACATTGACTCGAATATAAAAAATAATAAGTACCTATCTTACCACGACTACAGTGAGTAATAATGATGTATGTATGTAAGTCCTGAAAACCAACACAAGTGACATGATTGCTTAGTTAACTAAAGATTAAATTAATTACCTGGTGAAATAATTTTTATATGGGTACAGTCAATGGCACCAATAACCCGAGGAAATCTTGCAATGTTGTAAAATTTGTTTTCTATACTCTGCATTTCTTGCTGTGTTCTGGGCATTTTTATATATTCTGGAGCTAATGTTACAATAGAGTGTATCACCTTCTTGACAACCTGGCTGGCAGTCGATTTGTGTATACCACCAAAGTCACCAATTGTTTGTAGCATAGATCCTGTAGCACATAATCGTAATACCAGCAGTAACTGTTGCATTGATATTAATGCGTGATTCCTATAAAAGGTATGTTTTACGTTATTAACATATTGGTTGATTATAGGATTAGGTATTTACTAACCTTTCTGTATTTGGGGCGATATTGTCCCTTATTCTTTCCTTCAACATAATTACGGTGTTTTTGCTAAGACGAAATCTTAATCTGAATTCATCTTCATTCCATCTGGTAAAGTGATCAACACGGGCTCTAAAATTTCTAGCAGTTCTAAAAATTCTGTTTTGTAACCTTCCTGCTAATTCATCTTCTGATGTATCAGACGAAGATTCACTGTCACTACTATCTCTCCACAGTAATTATTCGTTTTCTGAAGACGACTATGATGACATTTTCCAGTAATGCAAAGAAAAATCAAAGAAAATATACAAATCACTCCCGACTTAACCTCAAAATGTACGACTCAACCGGTAGTTGGCATTTCAAACGAAACCCAATCCTCCGGTTGACTGAAACGTCACTGAACCGACAGTTCAACTTTCGGTTATCGTTTATAATACCGAAACTATCAGTTAACCTCCGGTTCAAATTCAGCCTTCGGTGAACCGTACATTATAATACCGGGCCTAAGTGGAGCATTCACAATGATTTATAAAATATACTTTATTTTTAAAAAGTGGTGAAAGTGCACATACAAGGATTCTGGCATTAAATCGTAGCATAGCAACAGTAGTGGCTTGAGATATAGGGTGTTTCAGTTTATTGTTGCTTAACTTTAAGATTCGATAGAACTTTTAAAATTAATGCATAAAGTCTATATAAATATGGGTCGAAAAATGCGTGGCTTCCGTGGCTCTCTGCTGTACCTGTAGTGTATTAAAATGACCGAAAATTTTTTCTTAGTGCAATTTTTTGCTTTTTGAATAAAAAAGCTGATTTTTCGCACTTTTCAACATAAAAAAGCTGTCTTGTGAATTTTCGTTATAGTTAGCCGTTTTTGAGATATTTCGATTTTTAAGGTTCGATGCATTTTTAATTATTTTTGATAAAATAACATTAAAAAGTCAGTATCTCGATAATTTTTAGAAGTCGGCTGTGCCTGCAAACATTTTTGAAATTGAAAGCAGAATAAGGTTAAACATCAATTAGTTGACAGTTAGTTTTGTTGTTTGTTGAAACCTGAAACGTTTTTTTGCAATTGTGAATGCACGAAATTTAGTTTCTTTTACCTGTTTTTTTTTGTAAGTTTTATAAAAATGCCATTTTTATTCTCCAATCAAGTGTTAGCCGATATTCATTTTGTGTATGGCTGTATAAATGGAAACGCAGCAGAAGCAGCCAGAGAATACGCACGGAGATTTCCAAACAGACGATATCCAACTCGCTCAGTATTTGTAAGAGTGCATCGTCAAATAATTGAAAATGGTTTTGGAAATCTCCAAAGGGATGAAAACATAAATGTTCGTCAGCGCAAATTTACCCGTATGATTCTGCGTGAGTTTGATAGAGATCCGACCACAAGTGTTAGAAGAGTTTCTGTGCCTTGGAAATTTCAGCAAGCCATGTTCAGCGTGTTCTTAGAAATGACCATAGACATACTTACCATTTGCAACCTGTGCAAGGACTACAGCCAGGGGACGGAGAACGAAGAATCACATTTTGTCAGTGGATTCTTGATAGAACTGATAATAATAGGGAGTTTTTAAGTAACGTTTTATGGACCGATCAGTCATGCTTCACTAGACGTGGAGTGGTAAATTTTCATAATCAACATATTTGGTGGCATGAAAATCCGCATGCAGTTCGGGAATGGATTGGTATCTACCGTAATCGACTATTTGGACCCTACCTTTTGTCTGCAAGGTTAAATGCTGCGACCTTCTTGGAATTTTTAAAGGCTGAACATGCAAATATGTGGAATGATGTTATGTTAGATTTAAGAAGATTGGCCTGGTTCCAGCTTGATGGTTGTCCAGCTCATTATTCGAGAATAGTTAGAAACTGGCTGGACGAAAATTATGCAGAAAGATGGATCGGCCGTGGAGGACCCGTCGCTTGGCCTCCACGATCCCCTGACCTAAATCCATTAGATTTCTTTGTGTGGGGATTTCTAAAAGAAAAAGTGTACCAGACTGCCGTAACCACAAGAGATATGCTAATAGACAGAATCAGGAATGCATGTGATGAAATAAGGCCTTATTTGAATAATGCTATACCACGTTGGATCATTCGTAGATGTGAATTGTGTACTGAACAATTGGGTTTACATTTCTAGCAACTACTTTAGATTTTGTATGTTTGTCGTAACTATCCAATAGCATTTCAAAAATCAAAAAATTGCACTAAGAAATTTTTTTCGGTCATTTGAATACAGTAGAGAGCGCCCTCTAGTGGCTACAGTAAAGCTATGCCCATGGTTCATTTTTTCGTACCAAAAAACCCTGTTATACATCAAAAATTGTTCGAAATATTTAGAAAAAACTATTTTAAAAAGTAAATTTAAACACCCTGTATTTCGGAAGCCACGCATTTTTCGACCCATGTTTATATAGCCTTTATGCATTAATTTTAAAAGTTCTATCGAATCTTAAAGTTATGCAACAATAAACTGAAACACCCGTAGATATATGAACCACATTTTCTCCTGCAAATAATGCTGCAGTGGATAAAAACATTTTGAATCGGCAATATATTCTAAAGGTTCATAATATGTATAGGTTGGGCCCATGGAAACCAAACATGGTCAATTTCTCATTAATGATATTTGGCAGGCAGGCAAAGTTTACCTTTTTTGTACATTGAATTGCTTATAACTCAGCAAATAAAAGTTATAGTATGAATAGTTTTCAATTTTGGTTCCAAGAATGTATAATACGTCATACATTGACATTGCCATAATCTTAGTTATTTCAAAAAAGCAGAATTTTTTGGTTAGGCCTTGAAACTATCAGATAGTCACTTTTTTTGTATTTCAGGCTTATATCAAAATCACTTTTATTTTATCATGACCTTATTTCGGACGGGATTTCAAAATAAATTGCATGTTGTCATTATTACTGATTCTCATCTACAAGATAGCGTAGTCAAATTTTCAATTCGAAATGCCTTCTTCGACTTTCCTCACCAACTTTGTTTTTTCATATGGCCGCTATATTGCAATTTAACATTTAAATGGACTTTTCAGGCCTAAATTCAGTGATGTATTTCCTTAGTTGGCCATGAATTTGTTGTTGGATGAAAATTAAAAGTAGGTAAAAAGGTATGGTAGAACTTGTACGCAAAATGAAAATTTTATTGATGTTAGTAACAATAATAATTATAAAATAAGCAAAGGTAAAATGTAGCAGATGTTCAAAATGTTTCAAGTTATTCTGTAGCAAAGCCTGACTCCTTGCTGAACATTGTTCATTGTTCGAGTCATTTCTCTTCTTCAAAGTCTTCCAAACTGGGTTGCTATGTTTAATTCGGGGTCTGGTCTGGTATACGAAATAAATGAAACCTGATAATCTCAAGGCCTACTTAGGAACTTCTGTTTTTCTTCTCTTTATCTAGGGTCTGACATAATTAGATGCCATCTTGTAGATGAGAGAAAGTGGCAACGTAGCATGCAATTTATTTTGGAATCCTATCTCAAATAAACTCGGGAAAAAATAAAAGTGATTTTGGGATAAATCTAGTATGCCAAACAAATGACTGTCTGATAATTTCAAGGCCTACGTAGAAAATTCTGTTTTTTTTTTTGGAATGACTAAGGTTTGGAAATTTCAATATATTTGGAATCAGTATTGAAAACTCTATTCATCTGTGCAAAAATCCAATATGTCCTACATAAGAAAAAAGAAAGCTGATGCTGGAGAACAAGTGGCGAAACTTCATATTGAAATTCTAATTGTGCCATCTTGTAGAGGAGAAAAAGTCGTAATGTTAATATGCAATTTATTTTAAAACTGTTTACTTTCACTTATCATAGATATTATTTGACGTGAGTGTATCTAAAGTAAGTCTATGTTACAGATTTCTGAGATCAAGACATGTTTACCAAGTTTTTATCAAAAAAAGTGGTGTTGGGGTTTTTAATTTTAAAACTATATAATAATGCTCCAGTAATATAATATATACTTGAATCACGAATGCTTTGCATTTAAATAAATCGTTGGTATTTTGTATGTGATACTGAAATACGGAAGAAATACTTTAAGATATTTCAGTTCTTTCTATCATACGGTTTTTGTTTTCAGGCTGGTATCCGTGCGGCCTAAAATACTGCAAAGGGAAGAGCCAAACGAAAAACTCGGCAATGAGCTACAGATGTGGCATCAAAACTTGTCGAAAGTGTCATCTATTTGCGTACTACGTGTCACAAAAGCAACAATGTCTTTGGGATGAAGACACTTAGTAAATTAAAGAACTGACAAGAATGAGAATATATTAGGTTGTTGCATAAATATAGGTCAGTCGGAGTCACAGCAAAGTACTTTGGAATCAGGTTGAAATGAATAAAATGTCAAACATTAAGCATAACAGTGCGTGAAATATGTTGCGTGTCAAGTGTTGAAATGTTGCGGAACAGATGTCGAGGACAAAAATGTTCATTGATATTAGCAGTAGGATATTCTCCAAAATATGCGCCAAGCGCATTGGTTCAGTCTCTACTCATTGGTGTTGGCCAAGTTGGCCCCAAGATGTAGGTGTGACGTAAGATTGGGTCAGTTTTTCGAACTACTCTATATTGCGGCACTTCAAAAAAGATACCAAAAGGAATCAAGAAGAAATTCTGATCCAAGAAAGGCAATGGAAGTGTTGTGAGTACAAAAAATTTTGATTTCTGTTATTATGGTTTTTTGATGTATCATAATGAGAAAATCTGCCACTCGCTCCCGTTTGTTGGTCTGTTGGCGTTTTTATAACCTCAGTCATGACTGCTGCATCTATTTTGATTAATATTGAACAAGAGTGCACTGTGTTGTTATAGTATTCATTTAGCGAATCATATGTTTTTGTTCAATTGGCAAAGGCATTCCACTCTATTACTCATGAATCGCTTTTAACAACTTTAAAAAAATTAGGTTTCCCTGGCATAACATACAAACTTATTAAAAATTATTTGTCAGATCGAACACAGTATTAGGACCCATTTTATTTAATCTATGTATCAACGATTTGTTCAGAAAAGTTGGGCAGGTACAGTTATCAGTTTTGCGGATGATACAGCTATTCTCTATGGAAGTGAAAAGTGGCATACACTAAAAACCAAAATCGAAAATGATTTCAAAACGTTTATAAATTTCTTTTCGGAAAGAACTATGAGAATTAATTACAACAAAACATTTTCTTGTAGCGATAGACTCTTACCACAATTTAAAAAACTTGAATTTGATACAAGCAGCCGATAAAGTAAGATTCTGGACAAACAGTTAAAATGGAATGTCTTTGTGAAGTGACTGAGATGTATTATTCTAAAATTCAGGTACTTCAGAGATATTCTGGATAAGAAGTATCTATATAATCTTTATTATGCTCTTGTTTATCGTCTATTACTTTACGGAACGGCTTGGGGAGGTGGACCTATTACAAATTTATTTTTATTGAGGTCCAAAACATTATATTAAACATTCTTTACTTGAATTGCACAACTCATAAATACCGAACAAGATTCAACCAAATTTCAATGTGTATTCCACACAACATCAAAAACCATTACACAAAGATCTCTGTTTTTCTTGGGACCAAAATACTATAACTTTATAACTGAATCATTAACAGCAACGAAATCAATTAGATCATTTAAAAAAGAACTCAAAAATGGTTCTGCAACAACCAAGATGCTCCATTCACGACATTGTAGATATGAAACATCATTATCATAATCAATAATATTTTACTTACACTAATATCCATACTTTTGCTTTAGCTAAAATTGTTGGATATTTTTCATAGTTCAATTCATCAATTTATATATTTTCGATTTTCTAACCCTAACTGTACTTTTAGTTTTTATTTTTAATAAACCCCAACACAAGTTCAAACTTTGTTATTATTATTATTATTCACAATATTTAATATTTACCTGTATTTTATGACAGTAAACATTATTATTTTGTTTGTTTTTTTGTTTGAAAATCGTACACTGACGGCGGAGTATAAGCAAAGACAAAACAGATTCGGATCGATATTTTTTGTATGTTTTACATTTTTTTTAACTATTTGTGGGCGTCTTTTAGTGGGGTCAAGCTGTTGATGTTTTGAGCATTGAAACGTTTTATTAGAGACTCAAAATTTGTAAACTTGTCAGAGTTCGTTTTTGAGTTACATAGTATCTGTGCACCGAGGAATTTAAATTTGCTTGTATGGAAAATGGAATAATATTCACACATGGTCAGATTGCGTTCACTTTGATGAACCGCATGACATACTACTCAACCAGTGTGACAAATCCTTTAATGAATAAACTGGACACCACTCAGTTCTCGATTTCCAACTACATAAATTGTGACATAGATCATATATACGCCAGCGTATACGTTGGTGTATAACTAGATCATTAGATTTGCAGATTGCACGTTCTCCTAATTGCAGATATTATCTCGGATGCATTTACGCGTAAAATGAACTGCAACTAGTGAGGCTATTTCCTTTAGTAATTAATTTGCCAAGAAGCTCTGTGCCATACGTTTGTGCAGGTGACTAGTTAATCAATGTTTCATCGGCACCACCCATGACTTAAAATGAGATTAAGCTCATAGCTCATTCAACAGAATCTTCTTCTATTAGTTTTAAATCGCTTCCTTTTAAGAAATCGTGTGTCAATAGAAGTTTGAACATGTCACATAGATTTAAAGATACCATTTTGATAAGAGAAAGCTTTTGTAGCCTCTCTCATGCAACGAAGCTCGACATTATATGAGATTCTTCAATAATATGACATATTTCGCTTCACATTATACTGCGGTAACGCTTGCTATAGGGAATGATTCACCCAGAGGTAATTTTTAAGAGAGATAGGTAACAGCAAAATCTGACCCTACACTTGCCACGCAAGGCTACTATTAGTTCACAAAGAATTATTTTTGGCACAAGTTACACATCTTATAAAAAGCTGGCTATGATCATGATGTATAACAAAAAAAATGTATCGAGTCACTCGCTTAAAATCAGTTTGTACTCCCCACATATTGCCGACCATCTGGCAACGTTGCTGTGACTTACCTCGGCCCTCTTCCAGTCCAGCATGTTCGTGAATTCGGTATTTTTCCTTCAGCTTACTAATCTCAGATATTCCAGCTGGATCTATTTTGGACATGATTTTCTTCAAATTGGTTCCTCTCATCAAATATATCATAATTAGTTTGGCTATGTCTGTAGTGAATGTTATCGTGTTAGGCTCTCTACCATTTAAAATAGATCTCATGGTGACTGGATTGAAGCCTTGGTAAGAAATCCGTTCCATAAATTCTTCGCCTAGAGACTCAAATGCATTGGCTATGTCGCTGGTGTCAACTGATTTAGAATCCATTCTCTTTGATGCAGATGCTAGATTGTCTTCAGTTTTCCTCTTCAAACCTTTGCTCATTGCTTTAACAGTCCTTCTTTTAAAGGTTTATGCAACAAGGTTTAATGGATTAGTTAGCGGTAAGATTCAAATTTGTATTTTTCGGCCGTCTTTGTGTCGGAAAATGTACTCTCATCGACCCGTCTTCGAGTTACAAAAAAGTATATTCAGATAAGAGATAGACCGGACATAAACAAGACCACGTGATCATCGAACGCTGTAACATTCGGCAGGGACGTATTAAGAGTCACGCAGTACATATTTTAGATAGTAGATGCTGCTTTGCGTAACTTTGTAGTAAATTAGCACAATTCCATATGTATGCGATTGGTGATGGATATAGGATCATGTGGGGGTGGGGTAAGAAATATATAATGATGTAAATATACATAAGGGTTTCAAAATTTTCGCTTCGATTTCCAGCTACGGATGCCGCCTGATGTTTGGTGAAATACAGTCGAATATAATCTCAAAATGGCGTTTAAATTAGCCTAAATTAAAAATAATCGTATATCTCTTAAAATTGCTTTTAGAATATTGATTAGTATATTTTTTGATTTCTAGGTAAATATGTAACCAAATTAAAACGTTCAAAACGTAAAAAAATGTGCATGGTTGAACATTGTCAGAAAGTAGATTCTTGAATAGGTTTTGCCAAAATGGGTTCAAAAATGTCAATAATTAATTAAAAAATACAGTAGCTTTATAATTACTTATAACTTACCGAATTTGATGAACGACATCTTTTATTGGAAAGATGAGCTTGATGAGCTTTCATCATCGCTACTGCCTGAAGCACCAACGTCAATAATGAATGGCTCGACTTGTTCCTCTAAAATATTGTCCAGTTCCCACATTCTCTTTTCAACTTTGTCTTTCACGTGCTTAATACAGTTTTCCCATTTTTGCGCTGTTATTAATTCTAGTGCTTCTTTGAAAAGTCCTTTGAGGTCACAAAATGTAAAAGTTGTATTGTGCTTAGCTATATAATTTTTAACCTCTGCCCATATGAGCTCAATGGGATTGAACTCGCAATGGTATGGAGGTAAACGGAGCACAGTTTTATTTTGACTTGCTGCCATTTCGTCAATGGCGTATTTTTGATATTCCGCCTTGTGATCCTTGACAATTCTTAATAATTGTACTTTCAGCATTGCTTCTTCAAAGTTGATATTTTTCGAGCGGAGCCAATTTTGAACATCAACTTTCCTTGAAGCCGTTGTTGGGACCTTCTCCATTCTTCGAGAATGATAAGGCGCATTATCCAACACAATTACTGCGTTTTCCTCTAATTTCGGTAAAATTTTTGAAAACCACTGTTCAAACGATTCGCCATTCATTTCCTCGTGGTAATCTCCAGTTTTCTTAGACTCAAAGCACCACAGACCGTCAACAACAAATCCATCCTCACTGCCAATATGGCAGATAATGAGCCTGGAAATCGAAGTACTAACTGGTGTAGATTTATTTCAATAAGCGAACCTTTTTCAAATGTTTTCATCACATTCAGCGAAAAAACATTGAGACATGAGTATCAGATTGCTATAATTGGGATTATTTAGTCATATTGAAAGAAAGAATATTGAACGTCGTATGATTACTCAGCGCTTCACAATTTAATTTAAAGTTATAAACCTTTAAAGAATGAATGATCATGATTATTAACAAATTATAACTTTATAAAGCTTAAAGTATGAATTAAAATGATTAGAAATATTAGGAACGGTACACAATATAAAACTTAGTAACTTTTTTAAGTTTATAATATTCGACATATTTTAAGATTATATTAAAAAATTATTGAAATATCGAAAACACATAAAAACATGGCTTAAAAAAGTTCTAACAAATGAAAATGACAATAAAACATCCACGCATTTTATCGAAAGTTATAAAAGTTTTGTTACTTGTAATATGTTTTATCTGCCCCCTGGAATTAATGTTTAGAACCTTGTTCCCAAGGTTTGAAAAACATCCGATTGTTGTCTATTACTCGTATTTACCTGCTGGATTTTTTAATCCGGTGGACGGTCCATCTAGAAAGGCCCTCCTGGATGAAGTTACAGAATCATCAACCCATACTTTACTTATAGTGCGTCCTGCGTTTACCCACGTTTCATCAAGGTAATAAATCTTCCTGTTTTGATTTCTATATTTCCCAATTTTTGTTAAATAATCCCTCCTCCATAGCACAATTTCTTCTCTATCCAGTAGTAAACTATTACGACCCCGTTTTTTCCATTTGAAATTTAAATGCTTCAGTAACGCATGGAAAGTTGATCGTTTGAAATTTGTCAACGTTGTATCTCCATTTACCTCCTGCAGTACTTTATCTATAGTAGGTATTTCATTCCTAAAGAAGAATTCATGCACTTTCCTCCTAATCGCATGCTTATCAGCTTCATCCAATGATTTAACAATACTTTTGCGATGTTTACTGGTCATCGGCTCAGAAAAGGTGTGATTTTTTTTGTATTGTCTTAACACATTAAACACTGATGCGCGACACACCCCAACTTTGTGAGAAACCTTCACAACAATTTCTTTGATTGTTGATGCCTCGTTCTCCTCGCGCTCGATCTTATATAACATATATTCAAAATGACCTCATTCATTTCTGCACTCAGGTGTCTTTTTTTAGAGCGTTTCCTAGGTGGACTACAGGAGTTTACAACTTCATCGGCAGTATCTGTACTACTGGGCATTTTGCGCATGTAGTTGATAACAATAACAATCAATAACAAGATATAACAATAACAACGACAAACTCAACAACTTAATAAGATAACAAACGAAAACGTCCAAAGAAATATCAAATTGCAATGATGCACACGACATACGTAACACGTCTGAACCTGAATGTGACTCTGCCTTGATACGACTGCTCTGCCGCTCGGCATAGGCATTTAATTGCGAATTGACCAATGAGGGCTCCTGTTTTACGTCGAGACGGCGGCGTTAGCGTGACAATCACCCGAACCTTTTGTTTACATCCGGTCTATCTCTTATCTGAATATACTGTAGGCATTTACGTTCGTTTAGTTGGGACGCGTAAATTGCATTTATTTCTCAATCATTCGTCAAGTTTCAGGGTCAAAAGGGGAAATTTATGAAAAGTATGTCTAATACGTGCGTAGAATTACCGGGGTTGGAAGCCCATAATACTAAGGAGCCCTTGAAATGTCAAAAACTGAAAGTTGAGTTATTTTTCGGTTTTTGATCATAGTTCCGCCGCGACTAGACCGATTTTCAAATACTATGAAGCTTCATCGTAGCATAATAGTAATCTTGTCAAAAATTTATTCAAATCCATCAAAATTCGAGTGGTTCCTTCCAAGTTATAGGCGGGCCAATGGTTAGCGGACATACATGCCGACCAACAAACGGACCGACGGAAAAGAGTGACAAGGTTTTTCGTGATGTCAGCCAAAAAAGAATAATATCTAAATATTGTAATTTTTTGCCTTGCCAGTGATGTGGGATGTAATAAACTTCATGGAGCTATCTTTATTATATAAATAAAGAGGCATTCTTGACAGTATTCGATAATTGCTTCTTTGATGTGATCTGGTCTGGAATTCCGATTTTTGATTGTGTCTGAGCGTTTCGAGTAGCATATGACTATCGCGCTCATTTGCTGTCTGGAATGCTGATGAATTAATCTTCAGAACGTGCTTTTGAAAAAACGACGGGCTTTCTGGCAGCACAGCGCTTGAAACCATTCTAAAAAACCGACAGCAACTAATTTAACCAAGTGTCCGCCTAGATCATGCGACTTAGTACATTTATACTTTTCCTTTGAGGATGCGTCTACGTGGATAAGAGAGTACTATTGAGCAAATAGAAATCTGTATCACTAGAATAATTCGTCCAATACTGCTCGAATTTCAAGGACGTGATGTCGAAAGTTGCAATTCCAAAATAGGTCACGTTATCCATGATCCTGCTTTCATTTTACAACCCAACACAGTTATTTGTTTTTATTTGTTTATGCTTTTAGGAAAATACCTCTTAATGAATCACCCACTAGAAACCATGATCCGACTGAACTGAAGCATTAATAATGTGAAATTATCAATCATTTAACAAAATTATCAATGGCCGCATTCAGAAAACCACAGCGGTGGAAATATTGGTATCATGTCAGCAGCCATTTAAATTACATGGGCACTGTCATTGAACGCCGCAGTAGTGTGGCACGGTTTTAATTGCCTGAATGAGTCCACTGATGCACCCTTCCAAAAATCACATTCTCAAGAATGTCTTCGACATTTTATGGTTCAACCTGTTGCGGTTCATCACCCATTTAAGAGCAAAGTAATGTTTTATACTATTCTGTTTCATGGTTGTGATTGGGCATGGTATCACCAGCTTTGGAAATTACTTTCCATACTTCAAGAATGAAATCATAACGGAATCAAACAGTGGGTGATTGTCCGACTGACCTACTATTTGTTAGGGTTGCGTGTTTGCCTTAAATTTGCTTTGAGAATGAAGGACCAATTTGCCTTAGTGCCATCTAGATGTTATTGGAATCGACTGATTTGCTTAAAATGGGTCATCATTGTACGATTAGGAACGCGAACATATTAGGTAGCTGAACGAGGGATTTCTAGTTTACTAATAGGTCTTCCGTTCTTGTACAAGGGAAATTACCAAAAAATACTTCCCTTGATTATACTTCCATTCGTGTTTATACCGCGATATAAAATTGTAAAGTATATAAACTTGTATTTTTTCGGGATGCTCTATCTTTTAGTATCTTGAATAAAAGATATTTAATAAGAATTAAGATGACTCATTAATGATGTTTTTATAATATTTTCAGTCAAATCAGTCGCATTCCAACATATTACGTTTATTAATTAAAGTAGTACTATTTTGCAAAAACTCAACAAACTCATTTCGAAGGTTATATCGTTATTTTTTCACATACAACAGTATCTTAAAAATCGCTTGCATTTGCACTGCAATATTGAGTTTGTATCCATTTTTTGTGAAATAGTATTTTTATATTAACTAACCTTGCACCTGCTCATGTATGATACACGTAATTCTAGTTCCCAGTTTGCGGTATATAAATTCATTATTTACTGGATATATCAATGATTTAATATAAACGACGATATACTGCCTTATTAAGTCTAACAAAATAAATTGTATGTTCTTTTTAGTTCGAATTTTCCATGCTTTTTTCTTACGCCTATATTCACCAAGCGCTGACAGTTACTTTAAGGGTCCGATGAACATTTTTTCGTATTCACCAAGTCACTGAAGGATATCGGACTGATAAAACTAACATTAACTTATAATCCCAATCCCAACCAAATAAGGAATTATCTAGCTCATAAAATGTCAATAATTTGGATTATACAGGATGATGAGAAAATAGTTGCGGAGGCGGTAGGGGGAGATAGTACAGGCTAGTCTGAATCTGAACCACCACGGGGTGATGCTTGCAGGATTTCGTCATGGTGGGCAGCGTATCGTTTTCAGAAAAAAGGTATTTAGTCGTCTAATCTTCAGCGCAGTGCATATACATATGTGCTTATGCACATGCACAATCTGGTAAGTAGGAACCTATTGTTGATACCTGGAGAAACTTATGGAACCGTTTTATAATCGGAACCATTCTCCAGAAAAAATGGACTGTTTTAAGTTTTGGAGCCCATTTATATGTTATAGTCCACAATTTCTCAAGTGATTTTTGCTATCATACGGCATATTGCAGGTTTAACCCCAAGATTTGTTAATGTTGCCGTGACTGACCAGAAACGGAGACTTTTTTGACAACCACTTTTCTCTTTACTACTGCGTGTGCTTTTTACTCTCGACTGTCACCAACTATATCATTATCTCTTTTTCTCGATGTGAAAAATTAGTAGATCACTTCCTTCCAATTTTTCTCACCACTGCGCGATTTTCTAAATTTGAATTCATTCAATAAAAGTCTTAATTGTAAATGGCTTGCTTTAGAAGAAGTCTGTCTTAATATTTACTGAAAATTTGATTAAATTTTGAACAATATGGGCCTAAACAGTGGAAAATGCATCAGCGGCTGACATAAAAAAATAGAAAAGGCACCAGCGGTCATTGCATATAAAAATACCCAAATTATGGTTATTAATGGATCGTCTACACATTATATGGTGTTTCCAGGTTAACTCGCCAATCCCTTCAGTAAATCATCATTAGAAATTCGCCTTAAGAGAAGCGATTTTTGCTTTTTATTAGACGCATCTACAACTGACATTCAGCTCTTATCGCTTCTAATAAGAACACGAAAAATAAATTCTGCGAACGCCACAATGCCTACGCCAAAGATGTCCAGATCCAGGACGAGCATATCGTTAGATTATGGTGTTATGGTGTTAAGCGGCTCGGCTCTTTTCTGACAACTCCACCGCCCTGAAATTTTCCCTTACCGATTTTTCAGTCATTCCTAGTACCCAGTGGCCTTTGACGTTGCAACCTCGATTATAATTGCACTTACTCAACTTTGATGATTCGTCAATTTGGACCACGTCGCCAGGTCCACCCAATATATCATCGCCCAACTATTTCTTCGAATTATCAAAAAAACTTCACTTTAAATAATTCTTCAAGCACATTATGTACATACAAAAAGTAAATAGATTATAATACAGGGGAAAAATAACCGAACTATTTTTGAGACGGGCAGGAGCTAGTTTTAATACAGAAAAACCTGTCGGCCACACAAATCGCATTTTCATAGCAATCCTGCGCCGATCGCACATTTTTGCGCTAGTAAGAGAGAATTTGACAAACCAAATCAAAATGTAATACGCGGGCGAAATTGTTTTACTATATTACTATGATTTGGCAACATCGCAACTAGTTTGAGAAATTATGATAGTAATGGTGGTGTAGTGATGGGAACAGTGTCACAGTAATATACAGCGTACGTCATATTCATAAAATTTTGAGCATTATGTTGTGTTAACAAGAAAAAACCAGCTTATAGGTACAGCAGTATCCTATATCACAGTATTACCATCTAAAATGCAACTTTGAATTCTATAAAAGAGCAAGCAGCTCCCTTAAAAAGAGAATGATATTTCCGTAGCAGTTACATCCTAACCTTTTATTTTAAAATAAATGAAATATTTGCGATATGCGCTAATGCAAAAGTATAGTTCAGCCGTTTTTTTGATAGGGCTGTTTTTTATTAAACAATGCTTGTTGAATGGTGAATATCAGTGCGACAGGTTGAGTTTGGTGAATACGAAGGTTAGAATGTTAACTTTCTTTTGCCATGGAGGTTTATCTCTTTTCTCTCTGATACTGACTGGTTGACGTGACAAGTATGACTAATTACTCATGTCGAGCAGTACCGAGCTGTGTTCACATTTAGGCCTAAGTCGCACAACAGACGCACAGCACTCGTTCACTTCTGAAGATTGGTTTCACCTGGGTGTTGATAATCGGCGTTCACATTTAATGCCCGGAATTTGACACTCCAGATCCCAGTAAGTAGAAAGTTGTAATTTGTCTGACTTGCGCACTATATGCATCAATTTTCATTGTTTTTCCTTACTCAAATATCTATATATATATATATATATATACAGGGTGACTTTGAAGTTGAGTCATTAATTTTCAAATAATGATTATAAAGTATCCTCCCGATAAGTATTTCAGTGCGGACCTGTATTTGATCGTGAGGTCTTGGAACACCGGCATGCCCTCCCCTGTGAGGTCTTAAGTCACCTGATTCACGAGCCCGTTGTACTACATTAACAAAGGCACGAGAGGTTGGTTGCACTCGATTGGGAAACCGATCCGCATAAACATGTGCCATGCCATTTTTTATTTCGTTTGAGCCACGCAGCAAACACCACTTTCACTCACGCGTTACCGACTGACACATTGACTGAATAAAAACATCGTGATCAGCGTTTCAAATTCTTTCGCTTTTTTGTTTCCGATGCGATGAACCGATAAGGCGGAGTATATCCGTTGTTGCCAAACACGAGCACATAATATTATTATTAAGACAGGGCGGTACTCAAACTTCTAAAGGGCTATAACTTTGTTACTTTAATTTTACCACAAAAATGTTAAAAGGAAAAAAACATTTCTTTTGATCAGATCTACTCACTGTTAAAATAAATGACTCAACTTCGAAGTCACCCTGTATATATATACAGGGTGTTCCATAATTATTGCGACAAAATGATAGGGGTTGTAGAGGGCATAAAAATATGCAATTTTGCCTTATAAACCCCTGTTCGTAAATATGCCGTTTGAGCACTACCGCTAATTTTACCTTAAGAGCTCATAGGAGAAACAAAAATTTCACCAGCTGCAAAATGTTCGTCTAGCACATTTCATGGTCTCGCCGGTTTGTAAAAAAAAGCCTGCTGAGTTTACATTTTTGTTATCGTAAATTCTCCACACCGATTCATTTAATTTATCTGAATGGTGCGTCAAACTAGATAGTAAATAACAGTACCTTATTGTTAAAATGCAGCGTTATTCGTATGCGGAACTTACGGATATGCATTTAATTTACGAAGAAGCTGGTGGTAGCGGAAGACGAGCCTCGCGAATCTACGCCCAACGGTTTCCAGAACGTCCTCATTCGCATCACGCCATTTTTGCAAGGCAACCAAACTTTGGTCGCTACGTTTTGTTCACTGACGAGTCCTGTTTTACAAAGGACGGTTATTTTAATAGCCGTAACAGTCACATTTGGGATGAAGAAAACCCTCATGCCATAGCCCTCCATAGAGACCAACATCAGTTTTCAATTAACATCTGGTGCGGCATCGTGGACGAGCATATCATCGGGCCATATTTGCTTCCACCACGTTTGGATGGGCATGCTTATGGTCGATTCTTACAGCATGTGCTACCGGAACTATTAGAAAATGTGCCGCTGAACATAAGAGCCAACATGTGGTTTCAACACGATGGCGCTCCAGCCCACTTTTCTTTACAAGTGCGGCAGTATTTGGACGACAAATTTCCAAATAGGTGGATAGGCCGAGGTGGCCCTGTGCCTGGGCCTGCGCGGTCACCCGACCTGACCCCACTGGATTATTTTCTCTGGGGCCATCTGAAAGCTTTAGTGTACGAAACTCCTGTTCCCAACCAACAAGAGCTACTGGGAAGAGTGATGGCCGCGTCCGCACATGTTCAGGACATACCGGGGGTATGCCACAGAGTTCGCCGATCATTGAACAATCGTGCACAGCTGTGTATTGAGCAAGGTGGAGGACACTTTGAGCAATTACTGTAGGTAAGCTGTTTCAAGAAACTGATCTTTTTTTTTTGTTGCAGCCCAAACGGCATATTTCCGAACAGGGGTTTATAAGGCAAAATTGTTTATTTTGATGCCCTCTACAACCCCTATTATTTTGTCGCAATAATTATGGAACACCCTGTATATATATATATATATATATATATATATATGTATGAAAGTTATCTGTTTTGCCTTCTGGCTCTTTTCAAGTCAGAAGGAAGAACGTTTTTTGAGATGTTGAACCTGTGTTTTTTGACTCGAAAGTAATTTTGGAACTGCTTAGATCAGTAATATATAATATAAGTTGAGCTGGATAATGTGGAAAAAATAGGATTTTCTTGAAACATTGTGAATTAAAAAGCCTTAAAAAAGCTAGAAAACTGGGTGGTTTAAGTTAGAGCTTGGTTCAGATTACTCTATTATGCGTCATCCAAATGTTAAGTCATTGATGCTTCAAAGCCGTTGTATTCTCAAAACGTCGTGTCGGTCTCTCGTCAGCGCTGTATAAATGTGAACGCAGCCCAGTGGACGTATTTCGGCGTACAAACTTCAGATTTTTTAAAACAGTCAAAAACCCCGCATAATGATGTAATTTATGCTTCATACGCTTCTCCAATCATATGTATTTTTGTATAATTTGGGTCTATGTTCGTTATTTTATCTACAAATCATATTTATCTGAACTGTTGGTTTTTTCTCAATCGTATGTGGGATAGTGAAAAAATGTAAATAGTACCTTGGATGACTATAAAATAAATTATTAGATTTCTCAGTATTCGGCCAAAAAGATAATAAGAATGATTTGTATGAACGTAGCTTCGACCACATGTATAAAGTTAATGTAGCTATAGTTTTACACCGTTTAGAGTAATCCAGTGTTTAGGAACCCATACCTTGAGGTATCATAATGTTGTCTGTTCCTGTAAATACATAAATTGAATAATATAAGACAGGTAAACCGAATTTTTATTACACCCATACTAACTTAACAGCACTATGGCTACAGCATTATTTATGCAAAGATATTACTCTGAAAACCTTTGTTTTAGATTAGGTGGTTGTATACTAATTTTGTAACCATGATGTAAATTCTAGTATCTATTTATTGAGAAAACAAACATGAAGGGCCAACGAAAATATCCAACAAATAAAACAAATAACCTTATTACTTATCTTTGAGTCGAACACCACTTGTTTTAGATTAGAGGTGTTGAAAAAGTAAGTCTGTGTTACTCGAGTACTCGTTACTCATAGATACCCGAACGAGTACGAATCCGAGCACGAAATGATTACCTACTTTGATTGCTTTGTTTTCCGTATCCGTACCCGGTTTGCGTACAATCGTTCATCGTTGAGTTGGCAACGCTGGTTTCACTGTAGCACTGCCGCTCATGCATCAGGGTTGCGAGACATCCCACATTTGGGTGGAAACCTGGACACTCCAGATTTAAAAATAATTACCAAATTCTATTCTCGCCAATCAAAAAAAATTAAGTTTACCTATTTACACCGTGACTCAAAATTCGCTCTTATTGTTGTGATCTTGCCAACCTGAAAAGGAATAGGAGTCGATTGCATTGGAGCAAAGTTGGCAGTATTATGAGGCAGAAAAGTGACATCAAGGTAACAGCACCGTTCAGGAAAACCACAATAATAAAGATTATGTCAATTTGACTCGTGTTTTCTTGTCCCACATTTTGCTAAAAAAAAATTATAAATTTTGTATGCCCACAAATAGAAGGTATGTGTAGACTAAGTAGATTTTTTTATACTTCTACATGCCTAATTGAAATGCTTCGAAAAGTACTTGCCATTACGAATTTCCTTAAGCCCATATGCAGATCATCTTTCTGACTAAAAGACATGCTTTTTAAACATGTCTAGTAAATACAAAGTATTTTCAGTTTGTAGGCTCATTGAGTCCTATGACACCCTATCCTATAATAACCCATCTCGATTTGTGTAAAGTTTGAAGATACGGTGTTGGCATTGAACTTGGCAGATTTGAATAAACTATGCTTAAAACATTTTGCAAATTTTAAGGTTGTCTATTTTCTTACAATATTCGGTTCCATTGAACTTGTTCAAATTCGACATTAATTACACGTTGCCAAATCGTTATACGCATACCACTTATGATAATCAAAGTAACGAATACAATAAATAATTACTTTGTAGAAGAGTAACGATTAGTAACGAATACTCGAAAGTAACGAGAATCAACACCAGTATTCTAGATGACTGTCTGGCGTT